AATGTTTTACGATTGAAATAATAAATAAAACTGTTTAAATCTCATTTTTCTAGTTAAATTATTCTTCACTATTAAAATAGAACAAACAGAAACGAGGAAAACTCTCCTTACACTTTCGACATCGGAAAACTTATTTTTCAAAATTTTTCACTGTAAGTAAATCTCTTTTAGAAGAACAGTACTGTTATATTTTAAACTGAAACAAGTTTTCCCTGCATTTCACTGACGCCATCTGACCATACTACCTGAAGATCGTAACGCGTATTTGCGGATATGAACTTCAGTCAGCAGGAGGGGAGGTAAAGAGTTAAGAACAATAAAAATGAAGGCGTAGATTCAACACATAAAATAATGAATTCTCGTAACACGTTCCAGGACGGTAATTAATATTCCCAAAACACAGGAAGACATGTTTACATGTTCTTAGTTATTATTACGTTACATTACACGTTTTCGGAAGGTCATTGATCTGGGGACTAGGAGACTAACGTCTGGGACTTCTTAGGGAACCAATCTCGCCTACGGACTGCGTGGGTCTGCAAGCCCGCTGCAATGTTCCACTGAGCGGAGGCGCTCTCGCCAGCGCTCGGCGCCGCTCCGTTAGAAGGCTACAGCAAAAACGGCATCTCCGCAAAACTGTACTTCGCGAACCGAACTGCCTGCAAGTTCTGTAAGCTTGCAAAATCAGGTATTTTAAAGACAATGGTTACCCCACGTAGGAATTACCATGCATTACCCCTCCCCCGGACTATATTTACCTACAAAACGTTGCTTGTTCCCTGCAAATAAGCAACTGCTCAGCAATTGCAATTGCTCCAATCTATGTGGGAGGGGGGGGGGCGTCCCGGACACAAGTTCATAAAATATTCGTAAAAAAAATCATAAATTCTTATGCATCTTAAAATAACTTAAATTGTCTATAAGAAACTAAACATATATTTTTTATTTAAATACATTTTCAATTTCTTACCTACAAATACAAATTCGATTCTATAAGATATTTGTTAATTTTCATTTGAGCAAAACGTTATTCTAATATAATTCGTGTTCCTTAAGAAAATCTGGAGATGTTTCCAGAGGGGGCAAAACCATTAATTGCTTGGGAAGCCCAATGTCTAATCAAGCGCTTATTTCCCCCTCGGCATTGGTGAAGTAAATCTGAGATATTGTATAAAGTCTTCGGAGGATAAAACAAATTCATATCGCATAAAACTAAAAAAAAATTCTACATGCAGAATGCAAGCCTGGGTATGCGTCTGTCGAATTTTGGATCTTTGGATCTCAACTTGCGGCTCTCGAATGTTTGCTTGTAAGGCCTTCATTTGGGCTTGCAGGAGTCGCAGTGGGAACAGAGATAGACGCGTGGAGGAAGTGTTTTCCTCACAGGAAGACGGCGAAACCTCACTTCCGCCCAGAACACGTTGCAGGAGAGGCTAGAGATAAAAGAAACTCCACCACAACACGCTTAGTCGGATCACGAGAATCATTAAATTGGATGACAATAATGAAATGTCCATGAGCGGTGGATAATCGGAAAAGAAGTTGAGAGTCGTGGAGGAAGTTCAAATGTTACTCCCGAAGTGTGTCGCCCACTTGATAACGTACTATTTTCAATCGATTCACGCAATAAAAAATCACGAACAAATATTTTAGTTTTCCACGATTGCTCTGCGAGCACTTGCTACCCAACATAATGATTGGTCCTATTTTGCTGGGCATCGTATTACATTGCTTCCAGAGTAATATTGAGAAAAAATGTGTCACTGTCATTTTAAATTACATTTAGATTAACTAAATCAGATCTACAGGCTTTGACAGTAATATCACCAATATTTTAAATAGGGTGGATCCTACTCCACGACAATCGTCAACATGTCACATGAATATAGTTCTACATTATTGGTTTTATTTTCAAAAGACTTTACCAACGCCAACTCCATAAACATTGGTTCCAGTATCCCATAATATCGACTGTGTGATTTATCAACTGTATATAGAAGTTATCCATTGATAGTGAGATTTGAAATAATCATTACCATAACATCTGTGGCGTTTTATTTTAAAAAACTATGCAAAATTTCAATTTTATTTTTATCTGTTGATTCGTAGTTATTTATAACGTATAACAGTCCTCGAATTACTTTTATTACTATAGAAAATAAGTAAACTATTGGTTCTACAACATACTTTCCCCAATTATTCGTAACTTTTGCAATCTTTGAAAATTCAGAGTACAACAAAAAATAGCATATTTCTGTCAGTGCGCTATTTTTATCAGCTATTTTGCACCATCATAAAAACAATAATTTGGAGCAGTTTTTGAGAGAACAATCTTTTTCAAAATTATCTTCACGCAATTTGGTTTGCTTCTTTTCAAAATATGGATGGTTTTCGCGTAATTTGGGGTAAACTCATTTAAAAATCTACTTTACAAGAATATATTTCATTGAGAAAAAAAAACTCAAAATAGCAGACAGGCACCGAAAAACTAAACTTTTCAATTTTCGTGAACAATTTCGTTAAACTTTCTAAAGCTTGTAAGAAAGTTCAACGAATATCGGGCCTGAGTTTTTTAAATTGCTAAATATATAGACCAAATTGCACCCATTTGGGAAAATGTTGAAAATGTCCTTAAGACTTCATGTAAAATATTACGAAAATTCAATCCCATCAAAATCATAATATCCGTTTCAAATGAAAGGGGCCACGATCTCAGCCGGATCCTTCGGGAATTTTCGCGAAACTCCTGCCGACGGTTTAGCCGCTAGCGTTCTTCACAGAGTGACGTTTTGGCTTAAACCATTTTTCCGGTATCAGAATCCACAAAACGTGGATTCTGAGTACACAAAGTTTCATAGAAAGTTATTTACTACATACAGGAACAAGATTTATCCATTTTATCGGTATAAGGGACTCACAAAACGAGTTTTATGATGAAAAATTACAATAATGTATATTACGTAAGTAGTATGCGAGAAAGTAAAACTGTAATTGTGAATGTGTGTCATCAGCTTTTTGGGGGTCTGAAACCTCCCCTCCCTTGTGTGGCACTACTCGAATTCGAGTACGTACTTATAATAACCAAACGAAAACAATTAACATAACTCAAGTGACGCTCAAACAGCTGATGTTTAATGTAAATATTGTAAACAGTGTTATGTTGTTTGTCTTTCCTTATTTCATGAGTTTTCTTGAAGGTAAATTATATTGTTTTCACGAGCCGCCCCCCCTCCCTCCCTTCTAAATGTTTTACTTGTAGCATTGGTGAAGTCTGCAAATCAGCAGACGAAACATCTGGTGACTTAGAACATTTTTTATTAACAAATTTTGACTTCCTGAATCATTAACAAAATCACTTTAATAGTTATGCAAGTGTCACCATTACCAATTAAAATGCAATGAAATTTTGATAAATTTAAATCTCTAGCTAAACCTGTGTTGAAATGCATAATTCTAGGGCCACTTAATTGTTATGGATTATTCTAATAAACCCATTAATCATAATGAAGACTTCCACAACATATTTCAAGAAATAAAATGGACCAATGTAAAATATACATGAGGGAAGATACGCACATTTCCGCATTTCTAGATCAAATTAAAAATATGTCAACACAATTCCTGATTTCACAATTCGCCTCTTGCTGAACAATTGCTCTTAAGGAACCATTTATAAATTGTTTGTCAAGTCGAAGCTGGGATGTAGTAAGGGTAGGCAAGTATCACTGTCACGTTCCCATCTACACATTACCCCTCTCGTCTCCCTTTAATCGTCAATTTCACATAACTTTACGTTCCATAACGTTCACTTGGTAGACCACAACTTCCCGGAATGCCCAATAAACACGTTTATATGTACGAAAAGTATTCCCAGAGGGTTTTACCATTTTGAAAAAGATCAATTATCGCGAACGATATTCTACTAACTAATTAATCGACGAAAGTTATTATTAGATTTATCATCATTGCGCAATTTACTCATGAATAATCCCGAAGTTCTTTTTCGTTCGAGAATTGAGAAACACACGCAATGCTCAAGAATTCAGAAAAAATGCCGGCCTTTTCTCGCTCAACAATTGATTGGCCTCAATTTTTAATTTTGTAAAAAATGTCACTTAAGATTAAAATTAAAAAACGTCTCATTACAATTTCGAAACTAAATGGACTATCGAAAACGGGTTTCCCTCTAAATGTCAATGAAGGACATTAGCTACCACGATGAATTTTTTTTTTACTAAAAACAAAAATAACAATTCACTAATAAATTGTATTAAATATTTGGCGGGTACATGGCAAGTGAGCCGTCATCTCGTTATACCAGCTGTGCCACTGCATCCCGTACAAGGGAATTAATCTCTTCAAAGGCGAAAGCGCAGCAATCCACCTCCAGTCGTAATTAAAACTATCAACATAATATGATAAACGAAAAGCACAACTTTGGTAAATAAAACACTAAATCATGACAACGGACCAGATAGTACCATCTAGCAACGTCAACCAACAATTTCCATGACACGTGCTGAAGCTGGCAGCGATTGTTGAAAAGGGCCCAATAAAATCCAAGCTTTCCTTTTGCCAGACAAAAATGATGCAGTGTGCCAATTCATAAAACACTTCCGTGAGCATTTAATCTTAATATCAACATATACACTAGCTACACCAACAAGTGAATTGTTTATTAATATTAATACAGAATGACCACACGACACTAAAAGCAAATCTTAACCGCAAAAATACTAATGCTGCTAAAAATACTTCATTAATCTTCCCGCGGAATATTTATACAGAACGACAACTACGCTAGTTCTTTGAGTTTTCATGAGAGACCACTAAACAAATTTGCGACAATTATTGATGATTCGCGTTCACAAAAAGGAGTTTTTATATCATAATAAAAACATAAAAAGAATGCGTGACAACAATATAAGCTAGTTCACAGATTGAAACACCTCAGATGGAAGAATACATGTCATAATGCACCTGTTTCCAATTTGACTTACCTTGGCCTTTTTTTGAACAGTGAAACCAACTTCTACAGCTGAAGAGCAGTTTCCGTCACAAACTAACCTTCACACAACATTAAACACCTTATTCCTCTTATTAGTCGAACAAGAAAGACGACAATGACAGGTTCGCCTATCCCCTGCCACAGTAACACCGATTTTCACGTAAGGAACGGTAAGGAACTGAGGGACCTCCCACGCATGCGCCAAAACAACCTCGTTCTCACGATAGCTCTGACATCTACTGGTAACCAGAAACACTACGTCGTATCCTCCGTGCCGATAATTGCATGCGCTGGCGTGAAAATGAACAACACGAGGACCGATGAGAGCTCTAGAACGGATGAATGTAGCGTTCATCCACGGCTCCACCAACTTGGTGGCACCAAGCTTGTTTCGTTTTGCGCAGGGCATCACCACGAGTTCAGAGTTGAATTAAGAGAAACAAATATGATGACACTCGACATCGATATCGCGTCGAACTGATGCATGTTTCAATGAACACCACCACACGTACTATATTTTATTACGCGTCTAATCTTTCGGGATTTTAAATTGGTAATCTGAAAGTGTGCGCGCAGCTTGTACTAGGTTTTTATTTTTTTTTTTTATTTTTTAAATATCTTTGTTTTAGCCGACCCTTATAGCTTTCATTCTGTGCATTCAACATGCTTATGACATCTTTAATTAAAAATAAAACAACCTGAAGGTAATTCTAGAGAAATTAGTCCAAGATTTATTTTTTATTACAGACTCATGCTCTCACTGATGTGTCTGTAAGGTAATAATTATATTAAACAATTTTATAGAAGAATTCAATTTATTTACTATATTTACATAAAACATGTTTGTACAATTACTTTTGTAAACATGTTGACTAATATAGAAATAATATTTATTAACATCTTTAGCTTACAATTGCTTGCAGGTCACTAGGTATATCACAAAATTATATAATTAAAAATCTAATCTCTGTTCAACTTTCAGTAACTGATACATTAATTGTCCAACTTAATTTGAGAAGAATGTAATACCATTTCTTATATATTTCAAGCCTATCACAAAACTGATCCAGAACAAACACTCGAAACTCCATATTATAACATAATTCTATTCTATTATAATAATTTAAGGCAAGTATAGTCAATATAAGAAAATATTTATTTTCATTTTAAGATGCAATTAACTTCGATACTAGTGCCAAACAGAGCTTGAGCTCACAAACATCATTTTATTGCAAATTGTGTTTCTTAAATTTATATATCCAAGTCTAGATCAGAGCGAAACTTTGATCTTCGTTCTACTTCTCTGCAATACAATTCCAATTCCTGTAAAAAAGAAAAATAATTTTTTCTTATTTTCAGTTCTTTTAAGGTAGAGTCATAAGTTTAATTACCAACATTAAATATACTACACATGTTTGCAAATCGTAAGATACATTGTCATAAATCACACTGGAGTTCTCAAGAACTTACAATTAAATAAAGCTACAAAGCTTTGCAGTAATGGGGTATATTAATCATAATCGCTCATGGGCCTCAAATACAAAAGTAATGGTATCTTTAAATGACCTATTTTGAAGGTGAGGCAGGAAAAAGAGGTATTAATAAAGCAAGTTACCCACTTCATCTTTCTGCATCCTCAGGTCATCAATCACAGGTTCTAGATAATTCAGGTCTTTACACGGATCCTCTGGCATTACATTTTTCTCTGAAGCTTCCTATAAGTATAAGTTAAAATTGTTTCTCTACTCTAACAATAAACCAAAAATTAAATATTTACTCAACTGAATGAATACCAATAAAAAAATATTTGAAATAAATGTACATTTGTAAGTGAAAAATAGACTTAAATCCAAGCACCTGTGGAAAATGAGTAGTAAAAGTATGTTTCCAGTGTTCTAATGCTGCACCTGGACCCTTTTGAGCAACATTTCGATTACGGGGAGGCATTCCAACAGAACCTAGCCCACCAATTTGTTGCATAGAATCAGAACCAGGGGGTATTATGAGAGGTTTATTATAATCTTGTGAGATACTTTTTCTGAAATGGGCGTAAACTATTAAATTTATAAACAAATAAAAATAAGATTTATGTTCATTGCTACTCACATTGGAGATGTTCCAAATCCATGATAACTCAAGAGATCCTTTGCTTTTTTAATTAAACCAGGCTCTTTTAAGCTATAAAACTGGAGAGATGCACCTAAAGTATGAGCCACATAACGCAGACTTCGGCAAACAGCTTTTTTCTTTTCAGGATCAAAGTCCTATACCCATATAGAAAAAACTTATTTTTAATTTTGAATACAACTTCTTGAATTTTTGTTTCCACACATACTCTAAAATGTTACCGTATGATCACTAAAAGGAATCAAGACATTTTCTCTAAAACATCAGAAATCAATGAAGTTATTAACTGTAGATAGATAGATAGATAGATAGATTAGCAGAAAAGGTATATAGTTTGAATACTGAACTGTGAAAATGAACTTAAAAAATTCAGAATTTTTTGTGTGTATGTAAACTATTATCATGCAAAGTTTTTTAGAAGAACAAGCTTATTTGAACTAATATGAATGCTTTAAAGATGTTTAAATAATTATCTTCAAAATGTTCCTGAATTTTATAAATTCTGTGTAAACAAAGAAATTATTCTTAAAAATTAAGTACTACCATGCGTTTTATATAGGATTGCAAAATCCTCTAGTCTCTTCAAAATAGTAAGTTTCAAAAAACCTCTTTCAAAAATCAAATTTCTTGAGTTTGCAACAGGTGATACAATCAATACATTTTGCACTAAATTGTTTTCCTATCTTGCAAAATTATTAAATTACCTAGTAGTATTTACTAAGAGGGAATGATGCAAGTTTGTCTTGATGATAACTAATATGTTCCCAAATATCACACTGCTGAAATTATAGCATTTTAATACATTTAATCTTCCTAACCCAAGCATTCAGTAGTTCAATAACTCTATAGCTATTACTCCCTGAATGTATAATAACAATTACAACAATAACAACAACATTTTATTGTCATTACGCTGTATACCTGTAGACAAAGTCAGATATGGATACAATAGTGCTTAAAACTAATTACAAACTTTAAACAATGAACCATGTGTCTTAAATACACAAGGATACAGTAGTGTTTAAAGCTAATTACAGAAAACAATGACAAAAGACAGTGCAATACGTAACATGCACACAAATATATATCTACTGTCGAGCAATAGTTCACTATACAATAAGAAACTCAAGGGGAATAAACAATTAAACAAGTTGCCAGCCAATCAAAACTGCAGTACCCACAAATTGTCAATTAAACTTTCACATTTCAAATATTTATGTATGGAGTAGAATGGAGTATTAACTAATAAACTGTGCAGCTTATTTTTAAATAAATTTAAAGATAATAAAACTATTTAACATGGAAGTTTATTGAACAATTTTTAGGCCAATAATCTCAGGACTGCTTAAGAGTTTTTGATAAGGTATGTAAATATGCTTGCTATTCTTTATTATTCCCTTACTTCTTGGAAAGAGTTCTCAATTTACTATGTTCAAATTCAGAATAATTAAAGCAACTAAGAGCTATTTGTAGTTAATTTCATTAAGTGGTTCCTGGGAAGCCAAATACAGGATAGATAATTCTTCGATTGGTTGCTCAATACAAATTGATTTTCTCTATGCATTACTGTACGTAAAAAAATTTGTATCAGGTTTTTAAAATTGAAAAAGTAACTTTAAATATTTTCATGCTTCAACATCTTATACATATCAATTACTGACTTATTTTAATTACAGCAAACATCATAAATGAAATCTAACACACACAGAATAAAAATGAGATTCAAATACAATTTACCATAAGCAGGAGTCCTTTTTGGCGCAAGTTGATTTGTTAACTGTTAAGCATAACTAAGCAACAAGCTTAAAAAGGTAATGGTAAGGGCAAAGACAAAATGAATAATACATAGATGATTAAAATTGTTGGTATTTTTAAATCTGAATTATAGAGGCAAAGTATTAAATGTCTAACATTAAAGAAGCTGATGTAGCCTCAAAGTTGGAATATGGATGTCAAAACATTGACTCTTCTTAATGCCACATAATCTTGTTCTACCTCCAATTTTTATTTTTTGTATTTGCACATTTTCCCCTTACCACCACTACTATTACCCTCCCAATAATTGAACAAACATTTAAAAAAATAAAAAACTCACCTGAAATTTATCATATTTTCCTCCCAAAATGACTAATGGAACGGGAAAAGGATCTAGAAACTCTCGATCCTGAAAAGTTGAAGTTTGAAAACCTCCTTTATATATTTTATATTACATTTGCATGTAATGAAAAGAAATAAAAACAACACTATCACAGGCTTGTCAGTATCTTCATATTATTTCTCAGATATCTTGTAAGTAAGCATGTTTTAGTGAATAATACAAGTTATGAATTGAGTTGAAACACCTTTGTTGTGAGAAAATGACTCCCCAATAAACAAACAAATTTTTAAAAGTTTAAGAGATTTTTGTTTTCACTTTCCTAGTCGCCATCAGGGTTAAGCGAAATGCTTCAAAGTTAGTACTTAAATACTTTGCTAAAATACTTTGTAAATAAGTACTCAAATACATACTCTAAATACATTAGGTTTTGATTTGCTGAATACACAAGTATTTAAAAATACTTGAAATACTGAAATTACAGAAACTATAACTGTATTATATATTTACTGCAACAATATCTTGTAATTGTTAATTACAATTCATGCAAATTTCTGAACAATTTCTATAATTTATATGTATTCTTAAGGTAATTAAATCCAAAAATCAACAAACAAACAAAAAAAACTTCAAGCACATTTTTTACTCACTTTCTGTATTACGAACTTTGAAATGAAAGCACAAATAAGATTCACAAATTTTATTTTTAATAAACCATTTATCTTTTTAAATACACCTATTTTATGTATTTAAATACTTTCCAACCCTGGTGATAATATTAATTTATTTCAACACACTAAAAAATATTTACAGAATAGTGCTGTAAAAATAATATGATCCATCCTTCATTTACATACCTCCTATTGTACATTTTTAGATAACATTTTATTTCTCTGTTCATTCAAACTAAATTAAACATGTTTATAATTGCTCTTTAATAACACTGGAAGTAAGAAACATCAAAATTAGTTTTCAGAAATTAATTAGAATTTAATCTCTAACCAAAAATTGCCTGCCTCATGGTGCAGGGGATAAGATCAACATCCAAGTACTAAGCCAAAGGATGCAAATTTGAGTCCCAAGTAAAGAACACACCATATTTTGTAGTGCTTCCCCTACCAAGTAAGAAAAACTTTGGTGAAAACCACCCCTGTACGGCTCTCAACATGTGATTGTCGCACTACCACAAATCACATCTGAAGCATCCTCAATACATTAACATTCATCTCGGCATTTACCCTCGATCACACTTCCCATTGTTCATCCAGAGGAAGGCAATGGCAAATCACTTCTGATTACAAGAGTAAAAAACAGTTATTAAGGTGCAAGCCTCCTCCATAGCCTGCATGCAGGTCCTACCACCCTTTGGGTGAGGAGATAATCATCAATCAAAAGTTAAGGAACTAAAAGATGGGTATTCATTCATGAACTGACAAAAAAATTACACTAATTGTTTCTTTCTAGTATGTGAACTTGGTCGAAATTTGACAAACAGTATAAATTATATGTAATAATTTATTTATTTAGCAACATTTGAATACAATACTTACTGGATGATCCATTCCTACAAGGTTCCAAGCTGCTTCTTGAAGGCTTTGCATGTCTGATCCAGCATTTTTACGAACTGATGCAAGTACAGCCTTCAGAAGAGTTTCTAACGTAAACCATAAGTGGTGTGGTGCACTAAGATCCAACATTAATACAACACTGAGATTGTGCAAAGAAGTCAAAGATGCAAGGGGAGCATCCAACAAAGGCACTAAGACAGAGCCACCGCCTAACTCCCAAATGTGACATATGTCTTTAACCTATTAATAAAGAACAAATGTGTATTATGGCAATGAAAAATGTCAGGAAATTCATGAGAATCCTACCTACTACTTCTGAAAAATTTAGTAAGCTAAGAAAACTCACCAAACTCTTTCTTGATTTTCTTCCATAAGTGTATTCTAAAGCCAAGGTTGATTTTGGCGTTTCTTCTCGATCCAAGAAACGAGTAATTAATGATGTTTTACCCTAAATATTTTTTGTCTTTGTAAAGTTTCTAATATTTTTTATTTAGTAATTAAAAGTACCATATTTACTAATCATTCAATAAGATGACATTTATACTTACAACACCTTTACTACCAATAAACAATACAGTATGTTCTCTCGGTTGATTTGCTGGTATTATAAGGCCATCATAAATATCATTGCATTGCTTAACAGCAATGTCTTTTAAAGTGCTTGTATTGGTTGGCATTCCAATGTCATAGAGCATTTCATGGCGTGGTGAACGTGTAACAGCACTTTTGGCCATTATTCATTGGTTAATGTGGGAAATTGTCTTTTGGGAGCTGTAGCTTTTTGGTATTTCTCTTCAACCAAAACTTAACCACATGTCAATGTTTACGTGTCGTACGTAGCCATAGCAACGGCCCCTCCCACTTTCTGCCGGACGAAGGTTAAGTAGCGAGTGGTGCGATAGGCGGTCGGTGCGATCAGTTGTGATCAGAAGTACCTACCAAAAGTACCAAACCGTGAAGGGCAGAGCATGCAGAGGTTCATAGAGGTGTAGGGGTTCTACTTCTGGTTACTAGGAGGAAGGCTTTTGGTTAGTTTGGCAAGGGTTAGTATTTGCTCTGTCAAAGGCATCTTTCGTATTTTACTATTTTAAACATCTGATTCAATGCTTTTTTTGTGAATAAATTATTTTCTACTAGCTTCTAGTAGATTTTCCATCAAATTTCAGTTGACATGATGCTTACAGGATTTTCACAATCCATTTTAATGGTACGTATCACGAGATACATCTGATTATACGTTTGATATACACTTGAGATATAAAATCCTGTGTCAACATTGGTCATGTGTTGCAGACCCGTCAATCACTTTATTATAACATTGATAAGATGAGTTCTGTTCCCTTATTGCACATTTATCACCATTGTTCAGCAAGTACACTACTTAATACCGGTAACTTTTGGTTTTCAGGTCGGTAGCAGAATACTACTAACGGGAACTAGACGTGTCATACCTGCGAAGTGGATATCCTATTCATGCAGAATGTGCGATTCTGATGAAAGCCCTTTCCCGATACGCGAGATTAAAAACGAATTGTTTTTAATGTACCAACATGCCGTTTCTGCTGTAAAACCAGGCAAGTTAGTGTCTCGAATCGTTAAGAAATGCGATGATACAAACTACGTCATAAAAGGACGAAAATACGTGTTTAACAAAAATGTGTATGTCGTTGGTTTTGGCAAAGCTGTTTTGGATATGGCATTAAAAGTAAATGAAGTCTTCGGTGAACACATTGTCGAAGGCATTTTAAGTGTTCCAGAAGGTATCAAAAATCCTCCTGGAGTAGAAGAAATTAAAAAACGAAACATTCAAATTAGAGAAGGTGCAGCAAAAAATTTACCTGATAAGAAAGCAGAGAGTACTGCCCGAGAAATTGGCCGTTTGGCAGATTCTCTAGGAGATGGCATGATTTTGATGGTTCTGATATCTGGAGGGGGCTCAGCTTTGCTCCCTGCACCAGTGCCAGGTATTACAGTTGAAGATACAGCACAGTTGGTTTCTAAACTTCAGTGTAATGGAGCAACGATTACTGAAGTTAACTCAGTACGTAAAAAACTCTGCACCTTGAAGGGTGGTAAACTTGCCATCAGGGCAAATCCGGCTCGTGTTATTACTTTCATTCTCTCCGATGTCATTGGAGACCCATTGGATTTTATTGCTAGTGGTCCTACAGTAAAGAATGAAGATCCCTCAGTATTACCTCTTGAAATTATTGAAAAATATCACCTTCAAACTGAAATTAAGAGTAATATAGTGCAGGAATTGAAGAAACAACAGAAGACCATTGATTTTCCTCAAAACAATGTTTACAATGTATTAATTGGAAACAATTTAACAGCTCTTCTGGCTGCGAAAGAGGCTGCAATGAATAAAGGATACTTTCCTATTTTATTATCAGATAAAATTTCTTGTCCTGTTGCAGAATTAAGTGAATGGTACAGTACACTTTGTGTAACCTTTTGGAAGGCACAGGAAACACGTAATTCTGCTGATCTAGAAGAGGTACTGCATTTAGCAGTTGAAAAATATGGATTTACTGATGAAGTTGTTGAACTGTTTTTAAGTTTTGTTCCCAAATTCCGTGAGGGTGCTTTTAAAGGGCTTTGTATCATTGGTGGTGGTGAACCGACAGTTGTAGTTCATAAGAGATGTGGGAGTAAGGGTGGAAGAAGTCAAGAACTAGCCCTTCGATTTTCTGTGAAAATTCACGAGTTGGCAAATCAAGAAGAATGTGATAATATGGCATGTGTTTTGATGGCAGCTGGTACTGATGGTATTGATGGTCCGACAGATGCAGCTGGAGGGTTCGGATATTTAGAGCAAATAGATATTGCAAATACCATAGGTTTAGATGCAAAGACCTACATAGAAAGGAGTAATTCATACGCATTTTTTTCTGCATTACCAAGAGATATGATTAAAATTGGGCATACTGGTACAAATGTCATGGATTTGCATATAATAATGATTAAAAAATTAAGACGTAAATAAAGAATGGTTTGTTACCCATGAGGGAAATTATGATAAAATATAGAAATGTTGTTACAATTTTGTTTAAAGATTAATGAATTATTAAATTTTTAAGTCTAATACTCTTAATCTGGGAGAAAGCAATTTTAATTCGGTGTTTCATACATTCTGTCAAACAAGATTACCATTCACTTTAGATTATTAATTTTATTAAAATCGAGATTTGCCAGTTTAAATAAAGAATTATAATTAATTTCCAATTTTGTATCTAGTGCCTTTCATTACAGTACAAGACTGAACTTGTTAATCTAAGATTTAAGACAAATATTATTCTGTGATAAATTCTTTTATGTAGTCATTGAAGAAGTTAAAACAAGATTAACTCTAGTTTGCTGATATGTTTAAAATATTTATATATCCTTTATGATGATTATTTGGGTGCTTGGATTCATGGGTTCTTGTAATGGATAAATCTAACTAAGTTTCAATTGTACCTTCACCTAACCATCCTGAAAATAACTACTCATCATATCCTCAAGTAATTTAATTTTAAAATTGTAAGTGTACAAAAGCAATTTTGTAGGCTGTATCTATATCATAATGTTGAGATTGTTCCCAAGATATTATTTTTGAACAAAGTAAATGTATCTGACTTGTGCAATAATATAAATTATTTTGTGAATGATTTGGCCTTATTCTTCACTCCCATGTTCAATACACACTCATGTTTGCTGGATAAATGAAAGAAACTGCTTTGTTTAATTTTTAAGTTTTCAAGGTAATTGTAAGTACACTTAGCTGACATGGATCTCCATCTTGTCTATAAGTGATGCACATGTAGGACAAGTGATTTTTAGAAAAGGGTCCAATTGTAGTACAGATATTGCAAATAATTATAATATTATGTATTAAATGTAAGAATCTGATGAGTTTATTAAAAATACCCAGAACAACTTGGTGATAAAGTTAAAACTAGGAAACCTTAAATTAATGATGCATTCCATAATTTGCATAAAAGGGACTATTTGAATCCAAAATTAAATGATCATGATAAAAGTAAAAGTTATTCATGCTAGTCCCATCACAAAAAATTATATTTGATTGCGAGCAATCAGATCACTTCCCAATTAGTATTCATAAAGATTTCAATGTTTGTACAATACTGTATATTATTTTGCACAATGTTTTGGATTTTAACCTTGAAATAGTAGTTCTGGTAAACTCTATTATAAAGTACATATGAAAAGTTGAAAAAATGTGTAAAAAAAATAAAAAGTATTTGCATAAATAATTCACTGAAGTCTTTATGTCATGCAAAATAGCTTAAGTGATTTCATTGTCCTTAATCAAAAATGAATTTATTGAAGAATATTGGGCAATGATTTATTTTTAAAAAATCAATTTTTCACTAATAAAAATAACAATTCTTAAATATCTTCAGACATTCACACGAATATTTTTGTAAATCATTTGAAGATCTAATGATGCAACTGGGTTCAGTTTATCGGCGCGGTCTTTCTTGAGAGTATATCTCACTAGTTTGGAACAATGCTGTTATATTCAATTCTGCCTTATTTTACGTGGCCCAGGCCTCCCCACGCTCCTTTCGTCTTTAAGAGAAAGAATGTGGTATTTAGTCGCGCAAGGAAAGGATTATACTGTGATGTATGCGACTCTGCCCCTGGCTGATCTCAGCGGACAGTTTCATCCTCAAGTGACGTTCAAGCTCCCGATTGGATGAAACAGTAAATAGCTGATACCTGCCAGGTGCAGAGTTGAATAAATCGCAGTATACTTCAGAGGCTTCTTTTAGACTATCTGACATGCAGAACATCTACATGGCCGATATTACTTCCCTTCCGGAGAAGGAGTGTGAAGACGTTTTTAGACTAAAAAACTATGGCTTCGATCGAATTTAAACCCCTGAACTTGGGTGTTATATACTCCCACAATGTGTAGAGAAGAAACAACGAAACTTCGAAAATACGCTCTTAAATCAATTTTAAGCATATTTTGTATAATAAACTGTTTCGAGATTTCGAATGGCTGAGCCGCAATTAACACTCAAAAGTTGATTTAAAAAACGATTTTCTACGTCAAAATTTGCATTTCAGAAACGTGTACATTTTTTATTATTTACAAAAGAATTGAATATATTTGTTCCCAAAAAAATTAACCCAGAAATAAAAAAAGCTCCCAATTTACAAAATTCAATTGCTTATTTGTTTATGTTTGTTTTGGAAGTTTCGTTGGTTCATCCCTGGTAATACATTACACGCATTATATACGATAGTGCATGTAGATGATACATAAAATATTATTATATATATAATATAGTATATATATATATATATATATATATATATAGGTATATATATATATATAAAAGAACCCCAATATATATATATGATAGATAAAGGCTTCCAGACTCTACGTGATACACAACGAAATTCTGAAGACAGTGGCAAAGGTCCACCCTCCAACTTCTCCTGAAAGCATATAATAGATGCTCGAGGGAAAACGTTTTTCCGAGGGTATGGAAAAAGCAGAAAATTGCTCTTCTTAAATGGCAGCAAACCACTACACGAGCCCACATCTTACAGACTAATCTGCTTTCTAGACACGATGGGAAAGGTAAGCGAGGGCCTGATACTGCAAAGACTACAGACATGGCTAGAGAAAACACACGGTCTGTCGGAAACGCAATAGGCTTTTGAAAAGATAGATCGACAGTCGACGCCATCAAAACAATCTTAGAAAAGGCCAGAGGAGCCAAAGAGGGAGCAAAAAAATAATTCTGTGCCCTCCTTACGCTCGATATCAGGATCACATTTCACTCGGCCAAATGGGAGGAGATTATCAAGGCTCTGATAGAAAACACCCCAGAGTACCTCACCAGTATAATGAGCTACCTAAGCGACCAGAAGACAATTTACGGAGGTGAAGGAGAACCTAATGCAATCTAAATGACGTGTCGTGTTCCACAAGGTTCGAAAATCGTTCTGTCTTATGAAATATTATGTACGACAGCCTACTGAGCATAAAACACCCGCAAAATGTCACAATAGTGGCCTTCGCAGACGATGCAATAATAGTGGCAAGTGCGGAAACATCGACCCTACTAGGGGTCATCGTGAACGACACACATTACTCAGCACGGACAGACGATCCTACCAACCCAAAATTCCTAATAGGCAAGGAAAAATACAATGTCGCAAGAGCCTTCGCTACCTACGAATGTAAATTGACAGGAAGCTAAGTTTTGGACCACACGTTACCGAGACGACGGAAAAATCACTAGAATAGCAGCATCTCTTTCAAGATTGATGCCGAACACCAGGGGCCCCAGCGACAAGACGAGACGAATTCTTATGAGTGTGATGCATTCGACAATGCTCTTTGCAGTCCCGATCTGGGAAGAATCTCTTCAAAACAAGAATTTGAGAAGGGAAATGCAGTCTGTCCAGAGGAAAGGAGTTCTACGTATAATATCGGCGTATAGTACTGTATCCGGAAGTGCTGTTCTTCTCCTGGCAAACGTCCCTCCTATTGACCTGCTTGCTCTAGAAAGGAAAGAAGTTGATGACTACTCCCATTAGCAAGAAGGCAACGGAAGGCGAACGCTCCAAGACACGGATAGTGCAATTAAAAAACTAAAGAAAACGTGATGCACCGCTGGCAGAAACGCTGGGACAGAGAGGAGACCGGCAGATGGACTCATAGGCTCATCCCAAATGTATCAAAATGGATAAGCCACAAACACGGGTCCGTGACATACCCCTCAAATCAGGCAATCACAGGGCATGGTTTTAAGGCATACCTTAAAAGATTCAGAAAGACAGAAGACGCGGTATGCTTCTACTGCAGCCGTGAAGGGGACGACGCCGAACATACGCTGTTCCATTGCCAGAGATATGTCACGCTAAGGCATCGCATGATATGGGAGGTGTAATGTCTCACTAGAAAACATGGTTACACTAATGACCTGTAACAAGGAGAAGTAGACAGCAATAGAGACATCACCGCCATTCTCAAGAAGAAAGAAGACAAAAGAAACCAGTCGTAGTTGTACCTGAATAGTACCTCGAAGTAATACAGCTGGCACCATCTTGAAGTAATCCATAATTGCGGTTCCAGGGTGGATAACGCCAGGAACCTAAAGGGTTTGTGGTTTTAGTGGGTAAAAATCTCACACTGTTGAGGAGCGCGGGCTCCTCTTCGTCTTTTGAAGATTTCCACAGTTCCCCTCGTATAAAAAGATAGATAGATGGGGAGTCCCACCAACTACAGACCGCACTCAACTTCTAAATGGTCCCCGATATCGACATACAGCTTTCGCTCAACAATGCGGAATCATGGGGCAAGTGATATGGTATAGAAATATTGTTTTCAATATTTTTAGTTTTCGACAAATTTAATGAACTTTGATTTTTCAATGAAACCATATATTTTTCTCGCTAGCAATAGATAGCTCAAAAAGAGGAATGTAGTGATGTAGCATATATTGATATACATACGCCTGTACATACTCTGCTACAGATCCCCTTATCGACCCCTTAATCATCACAGACCTCGTTCAAAATTTTATATACTCACGGAGGGTCATTGGGAACCCCTGATTTTATTTATATTTATATATGGAAGTCATCACAAGCCCTTTCCTCTCATGACGACTAGGCAATAAAACATTTTGTTGCATTATCTAATACTTTAAAAACAAATTTTCATTTCCAAATAGAGTAGCTACATTTGTCAACAGACCTTTTTCTGACATTCATTTACACATTCTGCTTTGAATTGAAAGATGCCGCTATTCAAATATCGGTACAAATTAAGTTTGTATTTGTAATATTTATACTCCAACAGTTATGCATTTGAATCTATCAAAATTTGCAGCATTATAAAACGATTCTCTAAACCTTATTGCTTCAAATTATTGGAGTCCAGTTTAATGACCCAAGAGGAAAAAGGATTGAAGCAGTCTTTGCGGATACTAACAAATAATGGTCAACCTACCCATACAAGCACAAGTGGAAATATAATACAATACAATACAATACAATACAAGTGGAAACGTTTGTACTATTGACCTCGCTATCAGTTCAACTACTCTGTTCCAGAAATGCAATTGGTGAGTGGAAGTCTCTCCTGATAGGGACCACTTTTCAGTATTGACTAGGGTCGACTGTACATACGTCGTGAACAGTATCAATGATGGTATCCAAAAATGGAAATTTAGTCAAGCTAACTGGTAAAATATGGTGATATAATCAATTAATACAAAGATTTATTATCAACGAACTCCTGAACAAGTGTGGATGCTAAAGACAGCAACATTTCGGATATCATCAAACAAGCAGCAAAACAATCAATTTAATTGTACACATCATCTCACGAACATATGTCAGTATCTTGAAAGAAAGGTGGTTGCAAAGAAGCCATAAATAACTGCAACCATAGATTTAACAGATAAAAGAAATTTAAAATAACGCAAGTAAAATTCATTACAAAAGAACTAGACCACTAACCAGAACAATTATCAAAGAAAGTAAGGCAAATTTTTTGAATAATTTGAAGGGCATTTTTGCAGAATTTGTGGCAACCATCATCTCATTCAATTGTGTTAATTAACTCAATCCAAAGTAGTAAAAGACATAACCAAATCGTTTTTATTGAAGATGGCATCAAAATATTATCGCAAATTGCTAACAGCATTGCTGACTTATTTGCAAGGAACTCCAGTAACCAGAATTTCCCCAGAGGTTTTAAATTATATAACTAATTTCCAAGAAAACCAGGATCTATTCGATGATTATGATAAACTCACACTAAACCATATCAAAGACTGTGTATCCGTGAATGAAGTCCTAGATATTAACTCCTAATGATCTCTCGAACATTTTTACCAAAAACCTTCCCACCGCTGGCAAAGAAATATTACTTAAATTGTACTACTTC